TCATTATTTTAAAAAGATAGTTAGATTGTAGGAGGTACAAAGAGGCTCTGAGCCTCTGGTTTCTAGTTTTTCTCTCTGTTTTCTCCAGGACTAGCGCTGTAAGATTAAATTATGTACACTTTTACTGTTCATCTTAGTAAGATTAGTAGGTAAATCTCTTTTCTAGCTGAAGGATTTTATTGAAGTATTGATGTTATTCAATTGTGAGATCTAATTATTTTCTATTCGCCAACATGTTTTGAATATTTATTTATTCTCTTTGATGTGTATTGATGATTATTTAGCATTATTTGAATCGTTGGTAGCATTCAGTTCTCCTAGGTAATCTAATTTATTGAACAACAAGGTTTGTTTGTTCCTAAGAATAGACAATATAATTAATTGCTTGGTAAATAATTTTATTGTGTTGTTAGAATAAATAATCAATCTTGTATGAAACAAGCTTTGTTTGTTAAAAATTGAATTGGATCATTGCTTGTCGAAAACTAAATCCTAAGAGATTCCAGGTTGTGTTTTTGGCTATAGAGTGATTAATGAAGATTTCTTAATCACTGGTAGTTAATTAAAGTGACTGAGTTATTACGAGGTTCCAACAATGTTAACAAATATATTCATGGTTTGTTGAGTTAATCATTGCATCAAGGATCAATTGGAAGCATCAATGTGGAAATTATTCCTTTGGCTAGAGTTTCTCTTAATATTGATTTTCGAAAAATATCTTTTATGTTTTGCAAATTGGTTTTGTTATCCGTTTGTTACAAATCCAGAATCTCTCTCATTTAGTTATTTTGCTTTTAATTAGAAATATTTTTACTTCCTTTTTCTCTGAGGAGACGACGCTACTCATTGCTATACTACGAAATTTCTTAGGAGTAGGTTCTTTTATTTTTGTCGGTTTGACACACATCATACTCTCTGCTACATTTTTCCTTTTCATATCAAAATGGTGGCAATCGACACAAAACAATATTAACACCGTAGTGAAGAAGAAAGTATTGAATAGTAAATTCATCCTTTTTAGCTTGCCGATTGAACTCCAAAGAATGAACCAATAAAATATGACAAGGTTGCATTGAAACTACGTAATAAAGAACTTCATCACCAATTTTTCCAATATTCCATGGTACACGAGCTTGCTACTTCGCTTGGATTTCCCCTCAATTATCCAACCAATGAAACACATAAGGGTGAGGGTGCTTGGCCCTAGGAAGCTTTTACTTGTCCACAAAGTCTTGACTTCATCAATTAATACAACTCCCTCTATCCACGATCTCTAAGCTAGTCTTGTCTTTCATCGTACTCCCATATAAAATATGATGGTATGTTGTTCTAATTACTTATCCGAGATCGATTAAGCACTCAAAGCATGAGCAATTACGATAGAACGTATAACATTCTCTTCATACACAATTCCATCATCACATTCGCCACTCTCGAGCACATCATTTTCATAGCACACCCCCTCTGTGTCTATCTCAATTGCCTGAGAGTGAGACACCAATGACGTTCCCAAAGAAGGCTCTTCCATTTCTTCATCCTCGCTATAGTAAAAACCAATTTCATGTGTTACCATTACCTTACCGAATAGAACCTTTATCCCGTGTCTTCTCAAAAGGCTTGGCAGGTGTCTTCTTTTGAAAAAGCTTGGATTTGGCATGAATCTTACAATTATCCCACATTCCTAGTTTAACCAAATAGTATTCGAACCGATCACCTATAACTTGTCTAGAGTTATTACGTTTAACTGTAATTTTTTTGTAACTGTCATGATCGTGAGTTCAGCCCGTTACTAGTAAGTTCCAAATGCAAACAAAAAAGAATAACAACTAAATTAGAATTAGTCGGTGGGCAGAAAAAGTGAACTTGAAAAAGAAACGCCAGAAAATGTCAAAATCACCTTGGACTCTCATCTCAAAACCAATTGGCAATGAGTGGGATGGCATTTGGCATTTATAAACAGGTAACAGATTCTTCAGGACACCAATATGGGATTCTTTTGTCCCAACACCCTCCCTCAAGCCCAATGGGGTATTTGGCCTATTGAGGTTACACAACACAACATAATTCACCGGATATACTGTCAATTCAGTCCACAAGTCTGCACACACGGGTATAAAATTTCGGATATACTGCTGGGTCACTCCACAAGCCCAGATATTTTGCTGGGTCAATAAGCCCGCACACGCGGGTCCATAGTTATCACAGGTCCACAGATCGTGGGCTCTGATACCATTTCAAAGTCACCTTAGGCTCCCATCTCAAAACCAATTGGTTATGAGTTGGGTGATTTTTGGCACTTAAAAACAGGTGACAGATCCTTCACGACACCGATGTGTGGTTTTTTGTCTCAACACCCTCCCTCAAGCCCAATAGGGTATTTGGCCCATTGCAGTTACACAATACAATATAATTCACCACAAACTCACCCGTGTGCACGGATGCGATTCACGCAAGTCCAAGGCACATAGGTCCATAACTCTTCACCACAAGCCCATCCTGTGCGCACGGTAGCGAGTGACGCAAGTCCAAGGCACACGGGTCCAAGCCCGCACACGCCGATTCATGGTTATCATGGGTCCACAGATCGTGGACTCTGATACCATGTCAAAGTTACTTTGGGCTCATATCTCAAAACTAATTGGCAATGAGTTGGGCAGCGTTTGGCACTTGTAAACAGGTGGCAGATTATTCGTAACATCGATTTGGATTCTTGTCCCAACAAAAATGGAGGAGACTAAAGGCAAACTTTTTTTTTTTTTTGAAGGAGACAAAGGCAGACAATTATGCACTAAGGAAAGGGATCCAAATAAAACTTAGATTAATATAGAAGTTTTATATTTCCAGTGCTGGGGCAAAGCAAGTACCTCTCTGCCCAAGGCCCCAATTTTAATTATTCATACGTTTTCTTAAAAAATTTTGTAAAAATATCAACAACTATATACAAATGTTTAATTTTATTAATCTTCTAAATTTAATCCTACTTATACAAGTCTTATTTTCGTTTAATAATTGTAGTTCTACTATTACGATTGATTTTCATAGTGGTTACTTTGTCTAAACAAAAATAGTTATCATAAAATGGGGGTTCATAGAAGAAATGTTAGTCAGGTATAGATTTCATAGAACCTTCACTCAAAAAGTGCTAGAATGTGTTAGCATTTTAATATACGATTTCGTTAAATGGCGAAAATTGTGGTTTCTTTCGGAAAAAATGAGGTCTGAGGCAGGGAGACCTTATGTCCCCCTTATTGTTTGTGCTCGTTATGGAGTATTTTACTAGGTTGTTGGCTGAAGCGGCGGAGGATAAGAAGTTCAAATTTCATCCGTAGTGTAGGTGACTGAAGCTTACCAACATTTACTTTGCAGATGATCCAATGACCTTCTGCAAAGCAGATTTGTATACTCTTACCAAGATTATGGAAGTGTTGAACAGGTTTGCAGGGACAATAGGCTTGGTGGCTAATGCAACAAAGTCTATCCAGGCCCAACTTTGTACCATTACAGGATTCCAAATAGGGAAATTCCCTGTGAAGTATCTTGGAGTGCCGTTATCACCCAAGAAGCGGACCCAGGCTGACTGTGATGTCTTGGTGCAGAAGATCACGTCAAGAATCAGATGCTGGAGCACGAAGCATCTCAGTTATAGTGGTTGATTGCAGTTAGTTAATTCAGTACTGCTGTCTATTAGTAATTTCTGGGCTTCTGCTTTCTTGTTACCACAAAATGTAACTCAGCAGATCAATGGCATATGTAGAAGATTCTTGTGGGGTATAAAAGAAAATGGCAGAAGTGTGGAATTGATGAATTGGACGTAGGTTTGCAGAAGGAAGAAAGATGGTGGTTTAAGCATAAGGGATGTGAAAATCTGGAATGAAGCTTCCATAAGAAAACAGGTGTGGTGGATTGTTACTAAAGAGGATAATTTATGGAACAAGTGGATCCATGAGTAGTACATTAAGGGACAGGGCTTCTGGCAGGTTCAACCCAAACAAAGGTCCTGTTGGCATTGGAAAAGGATACTGGCTCTAAAAGATCAAGTTAAGCAAGAGTTTGAAGATGGAAAGTGGAAACACTCTGAATCTGGTAAATACACTCTCTCTTCTGGTTATAACTGGCTTATTGGTAGTGTAGAGAAGTTGAATACTGCTATTTTCATTTGGGAAAGATACAATGTGTCAAAACATTCTTTCATAATGTGGCTGTTCTGGCATAACAGATTGCTCACTAAAGAAAGATTGTTTAAGATTAATATATTTAAGGATGGATTAGATTTTGTATTCTGTCAGAATCAAATGGAATCATACTCCCATCTGTTTTTTGAGTGTACAAATTCTGCTGAGTTACTGATGAAGGTAGGCAGATGGCTGAAATTGCCAAATCCACCAAGTAACCAAATGGCTTGGAGAGGCTTAGTGCTGCAATGGTGCAAGAACAGAAATCTGAAAAGGAGAATTATATTTGCAGCAATGGCAGCGACTATATACCATATTTGGGAGGAAAGGAACCAAAGGGTGTTTACTGAGAAGGTAAGATCAAAGGAAGTAATCTTAAAACAGATTCAGCAAGAGGTTTAGTGGAGGATTGACTACTGTTTGGGGCCTAAAAGATCTAGTCTGGATGAAAATTTATTGAAAGCATTGTATTCTTAGTTTATGTATATAGCATGTTTCAGGTTTTGATAGAAGATTAGATAGCAGTTTGGTCCACTTTTGGTGTAAATATGAACCTTCCTCATTATTAATACATATTTACGTTTTACCAAAAAAAAAAAAAAATAATTATCGTATTATATATAATCACACACACATATATATATATATATATATCCTTTGAAGTGGTTGACTATATATAGTACTATTTGGCAATGGAAAACAACAAGATACACCTGGCTTCGCCGAAAGTCCTAATAATGTAGTCAATGGTTTGGAAATTTCAACGTTAATTCCATCATCTGTCCAATGTTGTTTTGGTTTTCTCTTCTTCTTCTTGACTTTTCAGCATCTCTCTCTTCCCTGGTCAACCAACACTACACATAAATAGATCTCCAACATTTTACTCTCAAATCCGCAAGTATATCAACTGGTCCTTCTATTCCCTTAAAGTTTTCACAACCTAATTGAATCTTCTTTTTTCTTTTTTTTCTAATTTTTGTGTGTCCTTTTTTTTTTTCGATCTAGTCGGCTTCGAAAATGAGCCGTCACATCTCTGCAATGAAGTTTTCCGGCATACTTCTAAAGCAAAAGCTTCAGCTTGTGCAGTCAAAACAGGTCTATCAAGCATACAAATTTGTGAATAATATTCAAGTTTATACTGATCAACAACAAGTCTCCAACATTCCTGGGCTGAGAGGGTTTGGATTCAGCTTAGGGAATTCGTCGTCGGAAGCTCGTTTCCGGAGTACTATGGCTTCAAATAAGGAGAAGAACGATGAAGAGAAAACTTCTGATAATAATGATAGAGCTGGTGATCATCTGAAGGGGATCGTAAGCTATTGGGGAGTGAATCCACCTAAGATCACTACCAAAGATGGATCCCCATGGAGGTGGAATTGCTTTAGGGTATGTATTTAAATTATTATTCCTTATTTGTCAAAAGTTTAATGCTCTTTCTTTAATCTAAAATTCAGTTTGTTTCATTTTTTTCCATCATCAATGATGTTTGCACTTAAATTGTGTGGCGTGCAAATGTAGTGATTAAATCAATTGAACTCATAGTGACATTTAATTTTACTAGTTGAGGTTGCCTTACAGGCGGGAGAAAAGTAAAATTCATTTGATTAAGTGTATTTTACAGCTCATGAGACATGATTTTATATGGTCACTTGCTTCCGTTAACTCTAATTATTAGTATTGTTCAGTAAATATGAAAATTCAACATTGATAAATTATTTCAGGATAAAATTTTATGCTATCTTGTCTTAAATTAATACTTGCGTCTTCTTAATGTTTTTACGAAAATTACGATCAATAAAGGTAGATTTACAAGTATTACACGAAATTGATGTACTCCTTCCGGTTTGGTTTTTGGTTTTTAATGAAAACTTTACTAAAATATAAATATATATAAACAGGAAAATTATACATTTTGGAGCAGTTGGAATATAAATTAAAGTATAGATTCGCTATCTTTGATTAGTTTAATTGATGAATTAATTTAATTGAGTGCGAAATTGACACAGCCGTGGGAGACATACAAAGCAGACACCACAATTGACGTGACGAAGCATCACAAGGCTACAACTTTGATGGACAAGTTTGCTTATGGGATTGTCCAATCTCTCAAATATCCAACCTACATGTTCTTTCAGGTATCATCTACATGTGCAGTTACTTTGTCCCACTGCTAATACAAAACTCAATTATGGCGTCCGAGCGCATAATTAACAAGTTATGTTAAAAGAGAATAAGGATTATCAAATGTAGCTGTAGTGTCAAAGTTATAGTACAATTCATGCATATTCTTTTTATGATTGGGTGTACATATATATAAACGAAATAAGATGATGTCACCTTAATTATGTCATCGTATTGGAATTCTTTGTAAATGGTATCATTAATTGTGCCCGAATTCGGCCGTTTTAAAGCTTGAACCTAGCTATTTGCGGCTGTACCGTAGTTTTTTGTTTTTAATTAAAGTTTGTGCATTTTCTTACAAAAAAAAATTCAGCACCGAGGAAAAGAGTTAAATTAGTGAGTTCCCTTTACTAAGAAGTGCTCTTTGGATGGTTGACCATTTGAAACGATACACTGCACATAAAGTATTTGTCCAATGCCATCTCTTTCCAGCTAAATACCAGTTGCCTAAAATTTCATCAAAATTTCTTAAAATGGAAGAAGATTAACAATTAAACATGGAAATCCTCCGAGGGGATATATGTAGAAATCTTGTGATGCTTATTTATACTGCTTCCGTCTCATTTTAATATTGTTACAGAGGAGGCATATGTGTCACGCAATGTTACTAGAGACAGTGGCAGCAGTGCCGGGAATGGTTGGGGGTATGCTGTTGCACTGCAAATCTCTACGGCGATTTGAGCACAGCGGAGGATGGATCAAGGCCTTATTAGAAGAAGCCGAGAATGAGAGAATGCATTTGATGACTTTCCTTGAACTTTCACAGCCAAGATGGTAATTGAAATATTATTCACAACTACTTAAAATATTTTTGATGGTTTGATCTTTTTTTTTTTATTCAATGCTATGAATTTTTTTTATTTATTTCTTTTTGGAATTTCGAGTTGATGGTTTGATCTTTTTTTTTTATTCAATGCTATGAATTTTTTTTATTTATTTCTTTTTGGAATTTCGAGTTGAATCACTTTTTTTTGCTAAAGAACTGAATCATTTCAATATTAATTCGGAGCCCTACAGGTACGAAAGGGCACTCGTATTTGCAGTACAAGGTTTGTTCTTCAATGGATATTTCGTTGCATACTTGGTGTCTCCAAAATTAGCACATAGGATTGTGGGGTATCTCGAAGAAGAGGCAGTGAATTCATACACCGAGTTTCTGATTGATTTGGAAAAAGGGCTGGTGGAGAATAGACCAGCACCTGCTATTGCTATTGATTATTGGCGTCTTCCACCCGAATCAACACTCAAAGATGTTGTCACGGTTATAAGGGCTGATGAGGCTCATCACAGAGATCTTAACCATTATGCTTCCGTAAGTTAAACCTCTCCTTGATTCAATACATTTTCAGTATTAAGTAATTAATTCTTAGTTAAAAAAAAAAGTCATAAATTCTTGAATTTATATTATCTTCAAAAAATCAATATAACTTGGAAATTTTTGTTTTAAAATTACGGTTAATTTTCCTATCTCAGGACATTCAGTGCCAGGGAAATGAGCTGAAGGACTTCCCTGCTCCAATTGGATACCATTGATTGCATCAACAATTAATCTTTGTTTGATAAATTTCTTCATCATCCAGGACTCTTTTGAAGAACCAATCATGCTGCACTTTATGGTTCAAGAAATTGTTGAGATTGTTAGTATTTTGTTCGAACTTCAATAATGTAATCAAGATTTTCCTTTCATTTTAATTTAGGTTTGACAAGTCCACGGTTTCAAATTTCAATACCGCACGAAAAGCCCATTTCATGACTTACGTTGGGTTGTTCAAAGTAAGTAATGACTGCCGACCAGCATGATTATAATGCAGCTGCGATCAAATTTTATTCGTTAAAACTTTTTTATTAATAATTGAAGATCTGATTATGGAGAGTTATTGAGCCTAAAATTTTAGCAAAAACCATCACGTCATGCCACTGCCAAATGGTGCTAGAAACTAGAAAATTAAAGTTGGAGACATTCATGAAACCCCTGGCCGTAGCTTCACAATTCTTAACAACACAATTTTTTTCCTCCTAAAGAGAAAGATAAAAAAAGAAAGGGAATTCCCTTCACAATTCTTTCCCTTATTATGACAAATACAATAAAATAATTGTAAAAGAGATGGAGGGTGCACAAACATTTTCATGTTGCTTCCATGTCTTCGTCTATATATATGTGGGAAAAATTAGTGTGTCGAGTAGGAAGAATTCTTATTTACTAAAATGGAAATCTGGAAAATGAAATCCGTTGAATTTTTGGAGTATTGAGTCTTACATATCTTTAACTGTGGTAGAACTGTAATAAAGAGTAACATAAATTAACTTAATGTAACCTACTAAAAAATTATTAAATCCACAATGCCTTTGATAGGAATTTTCTCTAAAGGCGGCTGGAATGTGTTGTTTTGGTGATAGAAGTTGTTTTTTCTGCAGCAATAACATCTTTATTCTATCTTGTACTCTTTATTTCTATTTCAATTCAAATCCTACTATATAACATAGTTTTTGTTGGGATCGAACAGAGTTTCTTTGTCTCTAAATGTTTTTCCAATTTTATTTTCATTTTTAATATATACCAGGTAAAAGTACAAACTGAATGACTATATTGAGACTAAGGGGATATAAGTGATGAAGCACAAAGATAATGATTCCTAACCAACTAAAAAATGGGAGCCATAGTACGCAGTACATTCGTTAGGATCGAACAAAATAGATCGACTTCAAGTCAATTCAACGTACATCTATAACATATAAAACAACTTTTTATCTTCCAATTTTAATCATGAATTTGCAAACGGATCGAAAACTTTCAATAACGTACCATCACAATTATCCAGCGGAAATTCAGATATTTTTTTGAAACTCGTATTTATAACCAGCTAGTAAATGTGAAGCCACACCTACCTGTGCTCAACTATCATTAAGTAAAAACACAAATATATTAGCTGTTTTCTCTAAGGCAAATAAATATTTTCAAAATGGAAAATTAATCAATATTCATAATTTTCAATATGAACTTGGTTTGACTATTCTAGCATTGAATATGAAATTGTCATCTCTCTTGAATAAGGTGAATCGCCAAGTTTCTCCGGTCTTCACTGCATAATTCTTGAGGAAATTAGGCCATCCATCCGCAATGTCTAGTCTACCATTATTCCTCGTAACAATCTTTGCTGGCCAAGATTTCTTATCGCCTTCGTTACGGAGTATCACATCTTCAACTTTATTTAACTTTGTATCCCTAGCAAACGGCCTTGGAATAACCTGAAAAATAACTTGATAATTCGCAACACATGTTATTCAATGTATCACTTTGATAAAATTTTTACTAATTAGCCTCTATGGATCAAGAGTAAAAGCGAGTTTTAAAGTTGCCCTTCCTCCGTCAAAAATCATTGTTGAATTTGTACTAAAAATAATAAAAACGTAAAGTAGACAATCAATGATAAATTAGACGATCATTCGGTGAAGGAGAGAGTATACTCGTTTTCCCTTAGGATACAACATATCATAGATATTGGTTTGTGGATTTACCATGAAGGATCTGTGGTGCGGCTTTATTGTGACTATGAAGTAGGGATTCTAGGCTTTGGAATCAAAATAGCCATCCTTTTCATCAGCATCAATGATTTGGATCTCATCTTCACTTTCACTGGCTTGATACTCACTCTCTGTATTTTCTTCCAAATACATTGTTTCAATTGTTAATACACTCTACAAACTATATTCTTCATACGTACTTATAAAAAAGAAAAAAAATGAATAGACTCATCAATTGGTTAATACTCCCTCCGTCCCATAATTATTGTCCAGTTTACCAAAATGAAAGAATTTATTTTTTGGTCAAACTTAAGAATATTTTGGCTAAACTTCCAGATATACCCCTCTATGTAATTGTTTAGCCGGCAAAAAAAAGTTACGGATTTATAAAGACTAGTGATGATTCTGCTAGAGTGTCGGTGGATGGAACTTTGGTGACTTGGTAAAGACCCGCAACTGGATCTAAGTCGGTGCTGAAGACTTACCGACGGAATTTGCAGGAGTTCGGGTCCGACCTTCAGAAGGAAATTGAAATCATTTGCGAGCCCATGGATCTATGAAATCATCCCCATATTCAATTGAGTTTGGGGCGTCGGTAGCTCATGGATCTCTAGAATTAGTTAGCCAAGCCGTCAATGGGGTCATCAAATCCACCGTTAGGATCATCTCTAAAGAGGCCACGGCGGCGACGGCGGCGCAGCGGCTGAGAAACTTCCTGGGTGGGATTCCTCTCTGGCTTTTCTTGCCGCCAAGATAGAGCTGGTGAGAATGATGAAACTTGTGTTGTTGTTGTTCTTGTTCTTGTTGCTCAGCACAAAGGGAATTCGTATATGGAATGAGAAGAAAAAAAAATGATAAAATCGTGAAGAAAAATCTTTCTCTGTTTTATGGACTAGAAAAGAATTAAATCTTAAGCAGACATGGAAGGAGTATTGCATTGGGCCGGGCTTGAATGAATTGAGTAAATGCATTCTCTGAAGTTGAAACCGATACACATGATACTAATAGATTAAAGGGCAATTATGTAATTTAATCCATAAAAAGTCAAATTGGACAATAATTTTGGGACAATTTTTTTGCCAAAATGAACAATAATTATGGGACGGAGGGAGTAAGCAACAGAGGGAATAAACTCATCAATTGGTTAAATCGTTCAACTGATGAAGGTCTTCTTTTCTTAAAATTTGGAGAGTGAGACTTCGGAATTGAAGCAGCTCCTCTTCGATTGTACTTTGTTTTTTGATGTTTTTCATCTTCGCTTTCTTCGTCCTCCTCTTCGTCCTCATCCTCGTCACTTGAGCTATCATTGGAGTAGGAAAGCTTCTTTTGGCAGCCATTGGCACCAAAAACTGCAACTTTGAAAGTTCTCTTTTCAACCAATTGAAATAGCAAATAATCACCATATTTCAATTTATGAATCTGCGCAAAATCCGACCATGATTTATCGCAAATATAATAGTAATGACCTTTCTCACGAATTTTCACTTTCCAGATTTTCTTATTCTCCGTTGTAAAGAGTGAATATGATCCGGGCAGCCTCTTGGTTAATTCCCTTGAAAAGCTGTAGGGTACTTGCTAAAACCCATAAAATATAAACAGAACAAGGAAAAAAATTAGAATCCAAAATTTTAGGGTTTAGAAGAGAAGGAAAGAAATAAAGACAATGAAATGGAACTTACAATTCCTCGGATGACGTCATCTTCCATTAGATGTTTCAAAAAGAAAGGGCGATGTTTTCTCTCCATTGTGAAGGGTCAAGAAGGTGGTTGGAATGAATGGATCTATTTAAAGGAGATTTCAAGGAGGAGTTCAAAAGATATTTTTGTTTAGGCTTCAACGCTTAGTTAACAGATTAATTGCACTATTATCTTATGGCCTAGATACATGGATGCAATGGAAAAAATGTTCCACTTTAATTTTTTTGAAATATTTCTTTTCAAAATTGCTACTCCCTTCATTAATTTAGAATGTACTCCGGTCTTTATTATAAGTCATTTTAATTTGTCTTTAATTTTACATTGTATTTCTTTTTGGGAAAATTTTAGTTAAGGGCACAATAAGATTGTAAATTATTAAAAAGGGCATGAGTTTTATTTAGGAATTACTACATATTATTGATCACTTTTAAAATTTTCTGGCACTTCAAATGACCACATCTTATCCTCTATTCTAGTTATCCAAATTCTCCTTTGTTAAGTGATTAACAAATCTAACGAACTCTGCCGGTGCCAATCATATTCACACCATTTCTGCCAAGTCATTTACAATCTAGTCATGTATTTCTTCACTCCATAATTTTTTTTCCGTCTAGGTGACAAGGCCGAGAGTTCCTAATCTCATAAAATGAAATCTTTCGAGGGGTTGGAATTATTATCATCTTATTCATGCCAAATTTTGCAGTATATTTAGTGCTTTTTCTTCACCTATTAGATTAAAAACTGAGGTTAAATGATTGATTTTGGGAGATTTTTTATATCATGTTAGTTTTTTATTATCTTCTACTTTATTTTATCATGGATATTGTTGCGTACTCAATTAACTTCATTTTGGACCCTCTCCTCTCGTTTGGGAGATTCTTTTTCTGCAACTCCAAATCATTTCCACTGCATACATATCATTTCCAGTGCAAAAATAACATTTTAAATGGATCAATTTCATTGACCTGTAACCCGGATTATAAAAGCAACACAATTTGAAGTTTCAGAAAGGTGTCTTTATAACTATATTGAAGAGATATGACATGATCCAAAAAAAAGTAGCTGGAGACCCATATTAGAATTGCCAAAGGATGAAGAAAAAAATGGAATAAGGAGGTTTGCTAGTTTGTTTCAGAAGAGGTGTGAAACACAATGAAAACAAAATGGGGTAAAAAAGACATTTGAAACATGGGAAAAGTTTAGAAAGTAATTAAATTTATAAACAATTAGATTATGAAGTTTCATGCCCTTTTTAATAATTTCAATCTTTCTTACGCCCTTAATAAAAACTAGATGCTTGTCCCGGGCGAATGCCCCGGGTGTCGCCTGTATTTTTAAATTGATTAAATAAAAAATACGAATCATTCTTAAAAGAATAAAAAAATTAAAAAAATAAAAAATTGATTGAAAGGACACAAAGTGAGCTATTACACATAAATCTATGCTCAGATTTATAACATTTAATTTATAACAATTTACTTATACGTGGGTTTACATAAATCATTAACCATTATCCACAACAGAAGAATAAAAGAAAATCATCCTTAAAAAATCAAATTTCTTTCATGACAACTTATTTTTTCTCTGTTGTAGAAAGAGATGGATTGATAATTGATGTCAGATTTTTAGTAATTAATTTAAAGGCTCAGGTGT